TTTATTTCATTAACCATGATGTTTTTACTAGTGCATGTGTATATTGAAAAATATCTAGATTTATGAACTTTTACTATCTAAAAGTCTCAACCGAAGTTAAAAAATTGTTTGGCATAAAACAAAACTACAGAATTCTTATTACTATTGTGTTTTGGAAGCATTAGATTACATCTTGAATTTAATTTACATGGGAACTATCATAATTAATCAAATGTTTGCATAATAAAGAAAAAAACTACTATCATCCAAAATTCCAAATACCCAAAAACCAAAAGAACCCAAACGGCACGGAAAAAACAACATTAACGGAAAGAGGAGAAAACGTGCGTTGACGTTAACGGAACGTTGGATTGATTTTTAGTCTTAGAGGTTGATGCCGTCTAAACCATAGAGCCATAAACCGGGTCAACCCAGCGGTGCCCTTGGTTTTACCCTCTAATTACGTAAATGCCATCACATAACATTTCGGCTCTTTAGACAATAATTCGACCCCCAAAAAAAAAAAAAAACAATAATTAAGCCAAAAATATTCGGTAACGTTACCAGATATAATTTAGACAACGAAGATTTTGTCTATGAAAAAGAAATATTCAAGACTCAAGATCTTAAATGTTACAATACAAACCTAATTGTAATTTAAAAAAATTTATGTTGAAGAAAGCCGTCCAAATAAACAACAAGTCGTGGATGCACGAAACACATATCCAAAACTTCTTAAATAACCCAACGAATATTTCAAAACTTTAGAAACAGTAATTAATGATTAAATTAAAACAAACGAATATCCTTATAAAGTCAATTTCATAATTTTTATTTTTTTTAAAACGCGTACTTGTTCTTTTAAAAAACTAAAAAGAATGGCATTTCGTAAATAAACCCACAAAACAAGCCCTTTCTAATAAATTCCCCAGGTTATAAGAAGCTACACACCAACACTTTAGCTTATTGTATTCAGCTGTGTACAGATTCAAGTTTCAGAGAGGAAGAGAAAAAATCCCACAAAGACGAATCCAGAAATCGAGAAGACTCTGTTTCTTCTCTGAAAGGTAGAAGAAGATGAACACTCGCGCGATCTACGCCGTAATCGCGATTCTGGCGATCGTAATCGCAACCGTCGAACCAACCGGAGATTTCGGAGATTCGCTTGATTTCGTACGGATGGGATCTTCTTCTTCGTTATTCTCAGGATGCAAAGGATCGATCGCTGAGTGTATAGCAGAAGAAGAAGAGATGGAGTTCGATTCAGAGATCAGTCGGCGCATTTTAGCACAGAAGAAGTACGTTAGCTACGGTGCTATGAGGAAGAACAGTGTGCCTTGTTCTCGCCGTGGTGCGTCGTATTACAACTGTCAACGTGGAGCTCAGGCGAATCCTTACCGCCGTGGATGCAGCCAGATAACCAGATGCAGACGTTGAAGATGAAAGAAGGAAGAAGGAGATGAGTAATTTGAAATTTACTATTTTGCCCCTTTGTGTTTTTCCATTTTTTTTATAATTTTTAATTTTATCTCCGGGATATATGGGTTTGATTTGTTACACATTTGAAAAGTTGAAAACTATATAACAAAATGCTTTCTTGTTTTTGGTTGGTTGGTTATGTATAAATAAATAATTCAGAGTTGCGTAGATTAAAAATAGTTATTAGTCCGAGAAGAAGTGATTGAGATCTGTGTTATGAGGAATTTTAAATTTGTTAATGACAAGTAATTACCGTTATTTTAATTTTTGAATCTGAGTTTTGGAATAGTGTTGTATACAATGGACTAAAAAGCAGAATTGAATTCCTTTAATAGCTGGTTGTGGCATGTTGGCTTAATAAGGGTGATGATGGGACCATCACAGCCTAACACGCTTAATTCGAATGATTTTCTTCGTATTAAATTTATTTGCGTCGAAACTTCGTTCGTTTTGGTTATAATAATTGTATTATGCATCGTTTGATTATGTTTATAGCCATTATTCAAGGCCTATACTAATAGGCGAATAGTAACCACGTTTTTTTGTTTTTGATTAAAAAATAGTAGCCACATTTACGATGTATGAATATGAAAGTGACAAAAATAACTATTTGCTCGAATCCGTTAGCTCAAGTGGCGTTTGACACATTTGCAAATTTTTTGAGCATCAGTTTGGCTCCATTTTCTCTTAAAAAGA